TAAACATTCTTTGTGGAAGAAGCAGTATAAAGTTACACTGAATGGCATAAGGGTTGCATATAGAAAACAAGTTAGGAGTCAACAGAAGGGGAGATTTGGGGATACAAAAGAACGGCAGATATTCAATGCATATCCTAAAACGTCCACAAAGTCAGATGGACTTTATTCAAGGAGCTTGGACTCTTCTCCTAGACAGCCATCTCCTTTGTTTTCTATGCCACTACTATTTTATTCTGCAAAGACAGAAATTGTGACAGCTTCTTAATCATGCTCATTTATACTTCAGGGCTAAAAACTCACCTTTTCTTGTTTAGATCTGGCTATCATCTCTTCTATGAGTTCCTTCCTAGATTTAGGTTTTTCCTCCTCTTCATCTTGCTGCCCACTTGACGCTTTTTTACGAAGGAGGCCTCCACCCCCTCCGAAGTGAGCAGCAGTTAATTCAGCTAGAAAAAAAAAAGTAGATTGTGAATCCTTTTCAAATGCATACACGAGTGCTGCTGCTGCTGGGACAATATCTCCCTCTTCTTTGAGAATGGGAGCAATTAAAACTATTAAATCAATCAAGTACTATTCCCATCCCTATGGGAAAGGCCATACCAAAAGAGATTGATGCTAGACACATAATTTTGTGTACTGCTAGACACAATAACATTTTGTACAAGGTAGGAACATGTTTTTTTTTCAATATTTTAACTAGTATTTAGGTGCAGAGGTGCAAGAAAGCAACTAGAAAACTCACACCTTAGATTCTGCCCAAAGGGCTCGAAATGCAGGTCCCTATGTATGCTGAAAAGCCCACAGACCAAAGAAGCCTGCCAGGTACGTAGTTCCAACTTCGTATCTGCTAAAATTGAGAGCTGTTCTGTGTGTGGTTAAGTAGTAATCAATCCTGGCTTAAACATCCCAACCAACTACATAATATTCTTTCTTAATGAAAGACAGTACTGAACAAATGACATACATGTACCAACAATAAAACCAGCAGCTGGAGACTAGCTGACATGTCTTACCTGACAGTGTTCCTCTTTCTTCTGTGTCACTGTCACTATCAATAATATCATTTAGTTTTTCAATTTCTGCCAAAGATTGGCCATAATGAGTCAACTCCTCATCTTCATTAAGATTATAGATATTCTTCTTTCCATAATTTTGCTAAGAATAGTAAAACAAACCAATTAAATAACGAAAGATTTTTAGTTCCCAGGCAATAGATTGACAAAGCCTGTATTTTTAATGCTAGTTGAGGAGATTCTTATTCCAATGTTCTGCTAGAACAGAACACTGGAATAAGAGCGCTACCAGACCAACACTTCCATTCAAATACATTAAACCTTAAGTGAGGGAGTATGATGTCTCTCTTACACTAATGTAGAGAGGGAGTAACTCAGAAAACCTAAGGAAGCTTAAGTTTTGTATCAGTAACATCAATTCTTAATTACTACATTTCAGGCCTAATGAAACAGACTATAACCTATACAAATTTATCAGTAGAATATGATATTACACTACTCAATTCTGGAGACTGAGTATGATGAGGCAGAAAAAAAACTTACCGCACATATAATTCACATTACAGAATGACAGCAAGTTACAGAGTTCTTCTAGTCAGCAAATTAAATGGCTGCTGTTCAACAGCTGTACTGGAATCTCAAAGTGTACTTGATGGTGGTTGCCTTTTCTGAATTCAATTCCCAAATCACAGTAGTCAAAGCAGTCAAAGAAAACCAATCAATCACTGAATGTGCTTAAAACTGGCTTTCTTGCACATCAGTGCTCAAAAGCGCTCAAAGAAATTTCTGCTTCAAAAAGTTGTCTTGCAAAACCAGAAAGTTTTCATGAAAAATTTTGGATTCCCACAAAAAATTGCTTTTTCATAAAAGTTCCAAACGTATAAAATCAAAAAGCATCACCCGGCGAAACCCTCTGTTAAGGGGGACACTCCCAATGTAAAAGGTCAAGTGTTTCTTGTGGTTTGGAGTTTTTTTGTTTGTTTTGTTTTTTTAAATTCCTGTACTTTACCTGTCTTTCCAAAGTGAATCGTCTGATCATCTTTTCCTCTGGACTTATTTTGGTGTTATATTCACCAAAACGTTTATCTTTAAACACATTTGCCTTTTCCCTTTCTTTATATTCTTTCAGTAATGTTTGGGTACGCTAGAAGAAAAAAAAAAAAAAGGAGATCAAATTAAAAAGCAAAGAGAGTAACTACTTTCAAAGCCAAGGCAAAAAAGGCTCCATGGTGTCCTGGCAACATAATCTAATTTATCAGAATGCAATGAAAGAGAATAGAAAATTAACAAGAAAACAGATGGGAAGCTCATACAATATATTCGGAGTCATTAAGTTCTCTTACAAGCTGCCCATATGAAGATAAAATATGGTACACTGTATCTCACCTTTATTTTATCACCTATAAAAACTCTGCATTGCTACTGAAGAATTCTGATTTATCTGAAGCTTAGTGTACAAGAATAACATATTAAAGAAAGCAAAAAAGCACCAGTGTCAGCTGAACCTCTTTTGGTCTTGTCATCTAAGACATAAAAAAACTGAAGTGGGTACACACATTTAGCTCTCTACTTTAGTGTTGAGCACAGGGAGGTTATGCATCAAAGCAGTAAAAGGAAGTTTAGCAGACCTATATGAGGTAGTATGTGCTGTACTTATGGTACAGGTAAGGAGACAGGTTTACTTTTCAATGCCAGTGATCTCATTCATGACAAGCATTTGATTTACCTTACTATTAAATAAAACCCAAAGACCTTAAAATGTGGTATTTAACATTCTTAAAGTTTTCTAAAATCTGGACAAATAGTAATGAAGACTGAAAGCTAATTTATAATTTCGTGCTGAAGATATTATATAGTTTCTAAAGGAAGAAAATGCCATTCATGTTTAGACTGGAAAAAAAAATCCATTTTTATTTAAAACACGTTAACTGAATCTTATGGAAAGGTACTGTTGCTCTTCATATGACCAGGAACTCACAAACCACTGCACTAAAGGAAAAGGCTGTTTCCTACAACAGGCCTCTGCAGCCTCACTGAGCATTCACAACTTTCAGGTGCTGCTGTAACACCAGAACTCAGGTTTCATCTACTAATGTGCCAGTTCTACCTTGTATTTACTTCTTGCACAGACTATATAAATTATCATGCAGCTTAAACACCACTCATGAACTTTAACATGTCTTAATACCTTGGATATGTAAAAGCACTTTTGTTTATCACTTATTTGATGTCCTCTCTCATTGATAAAAAATTATTTAATTCATCACCTCTCACAATGCATGCAAAATGATAAACTACCTATTTCCTTTTGCTGCACTATTTTTAAAAAGAACTTCTCTTTTCAGCAAGTGCTTTAATTTCTGTTCCACAACAGATTGTATGTAACATGTCAGAGAGAATCTCGGGGACAAACTTTCAAATCGTGCTTTTTTCAGCTTTAACAGAAGGTTTCAACTTCTTTCCTGGTTTGTTTGAAGGGACAGATCATACAAAATTCTAGTGCTTCACTCAAGGATGGGGTAAGTTGCTGGAATGCTAGATGCTTAGTATGACACCACATTCTCCCTTATGCCTTACGGATTTTGGTCAGGTAGCTAGTGATGTCAGTACAGAAAAAAAAAAAAAAAAGAGGCCATTTTAAAACGGTGTAAGGGTGGAAGATAAAAGATTTACTTTTCTTAAGTTGTATGGTCATTCTTATGAGAGCAATGAGGACAGATCATTAAGCATCCCAACATACTTCTACAATGCAACACATTTTCCAAATCAGTGGTAGTTCTCACTGCATTCAGACCTTAGTGCCCTTTCAAGCTTTCAATATTACAGCAATGCCGCACCATTATCAAGAAGCTTAACATCCTGCAGCAAACAAAACTGAGCAACATAATGTGAAACTGACAACCACCTGTACCCTGGTCCAGTATTTGCTTGCTGACAACATGTGCTGTTGTATTCCGGACCTAGGTAATCTGAAGAGAATCATTCCCACATATGCAATAAGGGAAACTTGCACTACTGAACCCTGTGGATTGCACTGGAGGGAGACCAAATTCAGCAAGCTTTCCATCACCATCTGAGCAATGTGAGGTGACCAGCCACTCCTCCTGTGCACAACGGAGGCAGGCTCTTATCTCACCTGAGATGGCTCCAGGCTTATCGCCTCTCCACCACAGCTACATCTACGGATGCCATCCTTCCTCCCAACTTCTGATGTCCTCTTACCTTCTTGATGGCCTTGGACCGTGAGACACCAGGCAGCCCCACATCATTCTTGGTCTTCCTCCCCAAGATGTTAAACTTCTGCCTGTTGACCTTCACCTCAAAGGGGTTGCTCTTGACCATGGCCATAGCTGACTTCACAGGGCCCTTGGCTGTGGAGGGTGCTGAGACCTTTCGCTTCCGCTTAGCTGCCTTCCCCATTTTGGGCTTGGCTGCCTGCGTGGATGCGTGTGGGGAAGGAGAGGCTCAGTACTCACTCAGAATGCGGGGGCCAGGGCTGGAGGTGCAAACAGGCCGAACAAAATGGCGCTCGGGGCGGGGGGGCGAGGAGAGACCCCCCACACTACCCCTCGGGCCTGACCACTGCCCTGCGACGCTCCTCCCAACCCCGTGAGAGCCGGTGGGGGGCGCGGAGCAGAGCGGAGCGGGAAGCGGAGCGGGGCCCGGAGCGGTACCCGCGCTCCCCTGAAGCCGGCGTGCCCCGGCCACACCACACACGCACCGGCAACCTCCCACCTCTCGCGAGAGTTTCGCCCAACTATCGTGACAACGGCCGCTCTCCTCCCCTCCCGCTTTGGGGCGGGGGGGGAGAGGCCGGGGAAGGTCTAACGCACTACATATCCCAGCACGCACAGCGCGGCGGGCACCGGGGAGATGCTAGCGCTGTGACGCGAAGCCTGCTGGGAGTTGTAGTCCCGGGGAAGGGGACGGGGAGGCGGCAGAGGAGCGCAGAGGCGGAGCGCGCCGAGGAGGGCGGTAGAGCCATGGTCGGGGCGGGCGGTTGCTGCCTGCTCCTTGCCTCCGCCCTCGGGGAGGGGGAGGCCGGTGCCGGGGCGAGCAGCGGGTGATGGGGAAGAGGCGAGCGCAGCGCTGAGGTCCTGCGGGGCCGGATGAGCGGAGGCTTGGCGTCGCGGCGGTGGCGGGGCTGGAGGAGGGGGCGAAGGAGGCAGTAGGGGCGGCCTCCACTCCGGCTGCCCTGAGGGGAAGGAGCCCCCGACCATGGAAATCGAGAACATCGTGGCTAACACGGTGCTGCTGAAAGCCCGGGAGGGTGAGAGCCGCGGGGGGAGGAGAAGCGAGAGGGCGAGGAGGGGCGGGCTGGGG